ATGGAACTATGCAATTCTGAAGAATCCAATGACATTTGCAGTTAATGATTATTTAAAATATGCTGTCATGAGAAAGTCCGTGTCTTTTTTAAATCCAAGGTAATACTAAGCAGGAAATTAATATGGTCTTTAACTTATATTTCCCTTTATGTTCATTTGCATGATCATATTCAAGGTATTAATGGAATATCCCATCTATTGATAAGCTATTAAGGAAATACAGTTCAGAATAAATTAACTTATTGAGGAACAGTATGTTCAGCTACACAACTCTCATAACTGAATTACTAAAGGTCTGTTAAATGACCTTGGTTACATCATAGTGAACACATTTTTCCCTTTATCAACATATCAAACCCTTTAAATGAATAATGAATCAAATTGTAGATACAATGTCACTTTATACATAGCCTTCAAAAATCAGAGTATCTCATTTGCTTTCATGGGGAAGAGATCACTGAGTTGTATCCAAAAAAATGAATAAAAGTTCAGCATACAGAGAAAAAGCTGAAAGACATTGCAAACTGAAGCATACTCAAGTGGTAAAGTTTTGAGATAGAAATGGCATATGAAGAAAAAGTCTCAACATACAATAAGATTGAGTGACTTTTTAACATTCCACTGATTGCTGACTTCTTGGTCTTTACGCCAGGCAAAAACTTGATGAATCAGAAACACTATTCAGACACCATCTTAATCTCGTTGAGTCATTATTCGCTATGCACAAAGTAGAGATGACCAAATTGAGTGTTATCAGTGATATCACGATGATAATAGAAAAAAATATACAAACATGAGATAAAAGTGTTTTAAAAAGTAGTATCTAACTTCACATTAATTTAGGATTTTTTTTAAAGAAAAGAACTCTTATTTTAAGATTTAGGATTTTCTTTAAAAATCCTGAATTAATGTGAAGTTAGATACTACATTTTTTAAAGAAAAGACATTTATTCAGTGTCACAATCAGACTATTACATTCAGCAATCAACAGCATGGGTGCAAAAAAATAATCTACATTAAAACCCATTGTTGGAATACATTATACTTTTCGCAGAACAGAAACTAAAATAAAATGTTTTACAATTAGTCACAAATATGGAGATTTTGCCCATATACATGAGTATTTGTGTAAAACATGTCTTTTTTTTTGTAGCAGCTAGGCCCTGCCACCACTGTGGCTGGCTGAGTTCACAAATCTGTTGTAACCTGTAGCTTCCCTGTGACTTCTCTGGCTCTCTTCTCCTGCTAAGCTTTGTTTCCAAATTAAAATCTTCTGCCACTGCCATAGCTAATAATCATATTTTTCCCCATTGGACTATTGAAAGTAAAAGGCACATCCCAGTCACCCGTCACTACCAGTCTGAAGGCAGAGGATAACATATTTCCACAGAGATACCATACATTCAGCTAAAGATAAAGCCCCAGATGTGGGCTTGTGGGCTTAGTATAGGTATAGCACATAAGCCTTTGTCTCTGTCTTTATGGGAAATCTAGTACAAATGAACTCCTATCTTATAACTTTGATGTTCCAGCAAAGGAAAGAAACATTGTCCAATCCTACTATTACAGAAGCTCCATCTCTCCATCTCTTACATCCCACCCATTTCCGGAAATCCCTAACAGGAAATTTCAGGATAATTCTCAAACGAGGAATCATAACCACAGTGGGATCATCCATCATTCCTCTTTTACTCTTCTAGTTTGTTTGTCCAGAAAGTCTCAGTTATTGTTGATATTGTTGTTTGACTCTCAAAGTTACATGTCATGCTATGTCATACTGTTCTAAGACTGATCTTTGAATGCAGAGAATATCTGTTTTCTGCCCTCATCATCTGATCATTCACTCATATACTCCTATCTGCCACCCTCTACCTTGATGTCCCAAATGGAGGTCTGCCTTGAGCTCCAAATTTTCACAGAGAATTTAATGTGGTACTCACTTTTGCTATTACTATTTGCTCCAATAATACGTTAATAGAAATAGGAGTGGGCAAGAAAACCACAGATAAATATCAATCCAGGGGCTCTCTTGAAGTTTTCCACCCAGACCTTCCTCTTTTTCTTCTGGTCATTCATGCCTTCCCTCCAGTTATGTAATGAATTTTTTTTTTTTTTTTGGTTTGCTTTGAAGCTTTCCAGTCTGGAGAAAATACCCCAGTTTGTTTTTCTTTAATTTAGAAACATTAACAACAGTTGTGTTCATTGAACACTAGCCAGGGCTGGCACCATTTTGGATCTTCCCACAATTTCAGACTTATTTTCTATAATATGTATAGATTTTTTAAGCCTATAAAATGTGCTTCAAATACGGGCCTTCAAAACCCTGTGGTAGGTTGAACAATGTCTCCCTAAAGATTTCATTGTTCTAATTCCTAGAACAATAAATACATCACCTTATATTGTAAAAAAGGACTTTGCAGACATGATGAAATTAAGAAACTTGAGATGAGAATTTTATCCCCAATTTTCCTGAGCGGGCCAGATGTTATCAAAATGTTCTCACAGAAAAGATGCAGGAGGAGTCAGAGTCAGACAGAAGGCAACTTGACAGAACGAAGGGACAGAAAGATGTGAAGAAGCTATGCACTGGAGATGCAGGGAGATGCAGGAAGGGGGCCACAAGCTAAGGAATGTTGGATAGCCTTTGGAAGCTGGATAGATCAAAGAAACACATTCTCCCCTAGGGTCTCCAGAACAAACCAGCCTGTGGACCCTTTGACTTTAGCTCACTGAAACTGATTTTTGTATTCTGGCCTCCTAAACAGTAAGATAATAAATTTATATTGTTTTTCAGTACTAAATTTGTGGTAGTTTGTTCCAGCAGCATTAGGAAACTAATACACTGTCCCGACCTTCAATCAAACTGCTCTCTCTTTGTTCCAGAAATTCCAGAGCCACTATCATCTCTCAGGCACTGCTTAGTTCTTTGCATAAGTAATTATAATGCATACGTTTAGGAACAACTACAAAAAGGTGTCTCATTTTTAATACAATGAGAAAATAAAGTTTAATCAAGAAACTTAAGATCACACAAGAGGTGATACAACTGGATTCTATTCCTGATCAATCTAATTATTTACAGTCTATGTTCTTAATCACCATATGAACAGACTGCATCTTCTTCCTTCTTTCCATACATCATTAATAAAGCCTGTGTTTGGGTTTTTAATTACATTTTAAAGTTTAAAATTTACACAGAAGGGATTCTGCACCCCAGACAGATTTCCTACTAAATACCTTACATTAAGTGTGCCAGCTTCCTGCTTGACTTGGGCCTCACCCCTAAGGCGATGCAATGAAAGCCACAGCTATTGTCCCACTCTAGTGGCCACACACTCCATTGGGCAAGGACAGGAAAAAATGATTTCTTCTCCTTATAAAGGAGAAGGAAGAAGTTGTCCCATTACCCTCCTGAAAGGGTCTTCATGGAAACACAATGAGCTAGAGCCCTAACTCCAATGTTTTGGGATGTAAATACCTTTTCCCTGAAACCTGATAGCCCTCTTGTCTTCACTTTGTGTGTACTACTGATGTCTTTAGGTTCTGTGGTTTCATCTCTTTTGGTATGTAAATAGTTAGGAAGATGGCACTCCACTATCCCCAGCACTCTAGGGCTTAACCTAGAGACCAAGTCCTGGATGTAACCTTTGGGCTTTCTTGGGGGAGATCAGAGATATTTTATTATTCTTTTGGATCCAGCCACTAACTACACAAATGACTACAGATTTAATTCTCATGATCTGAGAAAAGAAAAAGACTTTTCACAGGAACACTGAGGAATCCAAGGAAGTTTTATTTTCCAGAGTCTAAAACATATATCCCTGGGTGGAAGATGGAAAGCTGGTAATGGCATTCACAGAGCTTGCAGAATGGTTTGCATTTGTTTATCGCTTTACAATTTAAAAATTGTTTTTCTATTTTATCTTTTGTATTCTGAGCACATAACATTAGGGCTATGTAGAGACTATTATGCTTACTTTTGAGGGTTGGAAATAGAATTTGTAATCATTTCTTGTCCACAGTTAACCAGCTGCTTAGCACAAGCCTGCACTTGCACCCAGGTGTCAGGCTGCCAGCCTAGGCCTCCTCCCTCTCCTGCAGGGAATAAACTAGCGCTCAGGAGTCCAGGAACACATGCTGAATCAGAAACACACACACACACACACACACACACCCCTTACCTTGCTCTCCCCTCCTCCACCAACTTGTCTTCTTTTTGGATTTGGAAGATATTCTTTCCCAGATGGCTCAGATCTTTCTCTAACAGCCTTTGTTTCTAATGTGGAGACTAGGTACCCTCCTACCATTCTGGGGCAATTTGAATTTAAATTTATAGGCTTAGAAAATATTTAAACCACTATCACTCCTGTAAAGACTGGATCTACATTCAATTTAGTAATTATTATCTCTCCATGAAGGTTAGAAAATGAAATCTTTCTCAACTAGACCTTTACCCAAGTGAAGTACTCAGCCACTCACTTTTTCTGTTTTTTTTTTTTCCATTGTACAAAATGCTTGAGTTCTAAAGCAGAATCCACTTTACTATGAAGTAGCAACCAGCTTCATAAAGAAAAAAATGCATAATTTAAAAACCATTAACAGCTTAATTTGGATAAGAGCTCTTAAAAACTATCTATTAAAATTTGAAAAATTTTAAAGATGTAAAACTGAATAATAGGTTGGTTATAGTGAAACAAGATGAACATTTTATGTAAAACAGATATTTTAAAGGTGGGGGGTCTGCCTTTGAAAAAGTATCAGATAAGCCTTCTTGAATAACAGAGAAACAAAGGAAGTACTGGCTAATGGTAGCTGTCCAGTGGGCCTGAGCTACAGTCTGTTAATAAAGTCCTACCATCTTGAGTATTCAAGAGAAACAAAAGGTTAAGAAGCAGGAAACAATCTCAGGTGCGATATTTTTTGGAAAGGTTTTATTTTCATGTATTTTTTGTGTTAAAATACATCAATAAATAAACTACGTTATTCCAAATCATAGAGAAACATTGCATAATTAATACAAAATCAAGCATTATGTCTCACAAGGAAGACATAAAATATCCAAAGGATAATTAGAACATTGTAGTTTTTAAAGCTTCAACATCAGAAATGTTGGAAGTTTTGATAAATAACAAGTGGCATTCTTCTAAACAGTTACAAGAGATGGGACATACATGCCTTTATCTTAACAGGGATCTATTAGCTTGGATCCCCACTATTTAATTCAGCAACTGTCACAATGTCTGGCATGATGTGATCTCTCCACCACCATTTAATGAATGGAGAACATGTAAAATCCATCATCTTCAAGTTAGATGACAGTAAGGACTAAATTTTGATTTAACACAAAAAATACCTTTCAAAATAACAGTACAGTGAATTAACAAACATATCCATATCTTTCAATATCAGAAAGAACCTTAATATACAAGCTTTGAAGATTACATACATGCATAATTAGAACGACCTTCATAAGAAACAGTTAAACACATTAAACACAGTCCAGGTGTGCCCAGGAACTAATTTTTTTCTCTTTCATTTTGATTCCTCTAAGAATAGACCTCCTTCAGGAATTGTAGCGGATATGCTTCCTCCTTCCCTCTAGGTCAGTTGGTGTTGCCCCTGTGGTGAAAAAAATGATAGCTGTCAGTAGCTACTCAAGAAACTGACCCTGCAGACACATTTTCCTGCCTTAGATCCTTACCTTCTAGGGTTTTTCAAATGTGGTCGTTTCTTCTAGCCCCACGCTAAGTGGTTATTAATTGTACCAGAGTTGTTCTGTGTAGCAAAATAAAATCCCAGGCTTCTAGATGCTATTTAACTAGAAATAGTGGACCTGTGATCACAACTATATTATTTGCTTCAAAAAGTGAAACAAAGGTTATAAATGGGTTAAAAATCTACCTGCATGACCTCACATAAGGTTTACAGCAAATCTTTTGAAGTAGTTTTTATTGTTTTCAGAGTTTGTTAAGACTCAGGATACTAAGAGCCCAGAACAAATCATGAGGGTCTTACTGCAAAGTCTCTACTCTTCACCATGAATACTTAAGAGCTCCACTGTGCGTCAAATCAGGGAGATTCAATTTTCAGGTCTGAAGCCCATTGGGGAGTGAGATAAACATTATCCTGAAATACGGAGGAGGCATTTTAGCATCATTAGCCAAATTCACTTAAATATAGGTGATGAGGAGGAAGGCAGCAAACCACATTGCCATGTATGTACCTATGCAACAATCTTGCATGTTCTTCACATGTACCCCCAAACCTAAAACGCAATAAAATATATATATTTTAAAAAAGAAAGAAATATATATTTACCCTCACTTATTTCAATAGGGGTTAGACCTGAGAAAGGAGGACACTGAAATACTGAAATATCCTCTGGCACCAGAGCAGATTAATAATCTTAATGGCAAATTTACTTGTGAAAGTAATAATCACAATTTCTAGTCCTCAGCTAACCCCTGGGTTTTCTTGATTTTATTTTGAGAGGGCAGATGACAGTATTTCTGACCAACGGCTCTAGTCGTCTGTGGACATGGAAACCGTAACTCACCTGCACAGCATCTTTTCGATGATTTTCTGAACCAAGGGGGATGCGGGGTTCAGACAAGCTTTCTGCCCATTCTTGAGTGTGGCTCTGCAGAGAGAAGGGGATTCCATGAGACAGGAGGTCGGGTTCCACACAGGGTGGGGGCGGCGAGAAGGTCTGGGACCCCAGCGTTAGCAACGGGAGCGCCGGGAGGGACTTAGGTGCCTTCGGTTTGGGCGCGGTGGGATCCCGGGGACTTGAGGTTCACGTTTCACGTGTCCTTGGCGGTGAATTCTCTGCAGGATCTGCAAGCTTTGACAGCGCAGTTCAGTGGCCGCAGATTCTCCTAGGGAAGAGGAGATTCGCTGGGTGAGGGGGGTTGTAGGCGCGGGGCGCCCACTCCAGCCGCGTCCCGCCGGGGGACCCCAGTACGCCGGGACTCACCTGCGGCGCGCTGGCCGGCGGCCACCAGGAGCAGGAGCAGCAGCTAATTCAAGGTACATCATCTAGACAGAAAGTGAGTAGATAGATAATAGCTATACTTCCCACACATTTTTAAATTAATCTATGTGTATAAGGCACAGTGATAAGTTTACTAGAAGAGATAAAGTAGGATAAAGTCCAACTTCTAATGCAAAATTATTATTTGGCCTGCTTATTTTGCAATGCTATTTTTCTGTTTCTGACATGACAATCTGATGATATAATTGGTCTACAAATACTTAAAATCATTTAGGTATCACTGAGAATCATTCAATATATTAGATTTTGTCAGGTTTTTTATGGTGGAGGTGGTTCTTGGTTTTTAAAAGTGTTTTTGTAAGTTGTTTTGCCTCTTCATTTTCCTAAGATTAGTTCCCGAACTATTCTGAAGTAGCATTAATTAAATAAATGACACCATGATCACATGATGTAAAAAAAAAGACCTGAAATACAGGATTGCCAAAATTGCAAAAGAGTAAGGAAATGAGAAAACTTCTCTTGGAAATAATTGCATAAGAAATTTGTTTTGGAGGTTAAAACATCATTATGACTTTGGTATTCTGGAAACAATATTTAGGAAGTTGAGAGATGAATGTATACACCACAAATGAAAAATAGCATGCATAGCATAAAAACACAGACTTCAGCTAAGAAAAGTTGTTTTTTTTTTTTTTACAGTATTTTCAGTTTTATTATAAAAATGCACACATAACAAAGACTGTCATTAAGTCATTTCCTGGCTCTACTTGCATTCAGCACTTGTTCTGGAGCAGCTTTCTTCGCCTTTACCATCTCAGCAAGTTCCTTGCATCGTTTCATGCAGTCCTTCTTTGTCCTGCCAGGCACAGCTTCTGCTAGTTTTTCCCATCTTTCAGGTGTATTTACTGGGTATGTTTTCAAAGCTTGTTCCAAAAGCTTCTGTTCTTCTGTTGTCCAAGGGATGAAGTTCATATATATACACATATCTTGATTTAAATATCCTGCTATGGTAATTGTCAATATTCATTATCCTGTAATTTTTTGAGGATAAAAATTTTTTTAATATAAAAACTTGATTTAAATATCCTGCTATGGTAATTTTCAATATTCATTATCCTCTAATTTTTTGATCAGAAATAATTTTGGTTTACTTTTTTCTTTCTGCGCTCTGTCCATATATTCAGAACAGACTTCTGAACAACACTGATTTCAGAGGGATAGCTCTGCTGGTGTGTGACGGAGCTAGTTCATTCATTGACATTTTTGAAGTATTTAAGGATGCTAAAGAAATATGAGATTTAATTACATACTGTGTAAATCATGGTGAAAGTGGAGAAATAAGAACTTTGTTGTGTGTAATATACCATATGTATGTTGCACATTAGAATAAATGTCTACTATCAAATAATATTTAATGAGCATATATTGTAGCGTATGTGTATGATAGGTCTATGTGAATGGACAGATGAGGGGAACTCTTAACAGAGTCCCTAATAGTTACAAATGTGACTGTATTGAAAACATCAAACAAATCACTGATGGTCAAATGGCATGAGCATGTCGTAATGTCTATAAATAACTTGTAAGATCTGTGAGCCTAGCATGGTCAGGAGTTGGGAAAACAGTATTTTTGATGGTCAACCAACTTTCTGTTGGCTAAATGCCTTATCCTCAGCATTAAATTGTTTCATTACACTGTGTTGCTAACCATAGTATTATTCTTTTTCATGTAGTTAATACTTGACAAACATTTTTTAGCATCTACTCTAGTAGGCATTTTTCTGAAATATAGAATGAAGAGATAGACTAGGCTTGGCCTTTATTGCCTGTTTTACAGTAAAAAAAAAACAGATAAATGAATGATAACAGTGCAATTTAATAGGTATTGTGATGGTGGTAAGTACAAATTGCTTTATTTCTTATTTTCTATAGCCCTATAGTCAGTCCTAGAATGAGAAAAGATTAATTCCCCAACACAGCTGATTAGTAAAACTGATTGTCCCAACTCTCCTTGTTGTCTGCCTGCTTTCAGATTTTATTGCCTCTCACCACAAATGCTAGATAATAGCATAATACCCCGGTTGCTTCTGCCTTAGTGAAGAAGTAAATATTTGTCTGTGTACCTTCTCTGTGCCCTGCAAGCAAGAGTGGTTGCTCAGGGCAGAGAAGGATCTGTTGTTCTCTGCATGGTGTTAGTGTAAGGACAGGGCACTGGTGGGGCTGGGACTGGCTGTCTGTCCCCGGCAAGACTCAGTCTGTGATGGTGGTTACCAGTGGTAAGGGTGTGGACCGCATTCATTCTTATGTGCTGGCAGGGCATGGAAAGCAAAATCTGCCACCTGCAAGCAGGCACCAGCAAAGCAATGTGGGGAGTTGTCATGGATGTAAGGGAAGCTTCAGTATGGGGAGGGAGCATGCAGGCTGGTGTATGGCTGTAGGGGCTGCCTTGCTGGAGCTCTTCACCAGTCAGGCATGAGTCTGCCACTGCAGAAGCTATGGGGTGGAACTGCAGGGCACACAAGGCTGCCTGCAAGCAGCTATAGTCAGTCAGGGCCCTGGGTAAGGTCAGCAGACCAAGAGGTGTTCAGATTGGGAGAGCCCTATCTGCTGGGCAAGACTGCCCTGCAGGGTTTAGGACTTGACAGTTCCACTACGGCTAAAGTCTCCTATGGGAGCAAGTCAAGCCTAAGGGGCTGGTCATCACTGGCTGTGCTCTGCTTCAGATACTCCTGCACCAAACCTTCTGGGCTCCACATCAGCTGGCTTGCTGCCCCTACCACCTCCTTAAGCAACTTTCCCTGCCAACTCAAGTGTCTGTGGTGGTAAAGAGACCTCCTCCTGCTGGGTTTCCAGATACCTGTGATGAAAGCTCCCTACCAGTTCAACTCACTCATTCTCCTGGAGCCATTGGGAGCCAGGAAAGAGTCTGGGTGTGCTGTAGCCCCATGTAAGGTTCCCAGGTTTCTCCCCCTTCAGTCCAGATTCTGTGTCCTCTCTCCACCTATACTCTGTGCCTTCCCTCTGTAGATCTGCTGGAAGCACGCCAGTCATCTCAGTTCCTCAGTGGGAGCTGTTTGACTTGGCTGCATCTAGTCAGCCATCTTGCCCCCTCCCCCAGTCTCTCCTTTTTCATGTAGGTATTTTTTGCTATAATATTCCCTCTTAGGACTGCTTTGGCTATATCCCACAGATTTTGATATGTTGGTATGTTTCCATCTTTGTTTCTTTCATAGAATTTTAAAATTTCATTTTAATGCCTTTCCTTACCCAATGGTCACTTAGGAACATGTTGTTTAATTTTCATAAGTTTGTATTATTTCCAGTGTTCCTCCTGTTATTAATTTTTAATTCTATTCAATTTCGATCTATGAAGATACTTGATATGATTTTGATTTTTAACAATTTGTTGAGACTTATTTTGTGACCTAACATATGTTTCATTCTGGAAAATACTCCTTGTTGATAAAAAGAATCCGTATACTGCTGCTATTGGAGGGAGTGTTTTGTAAAGGTCTGTTAGGTTCATTTGATCTAAATACAGTTTAACTCCAATATTTACTTTTTGATTCTTCATCTAAATGATCTATCTAATGCTGCATCCTCTCTTTAGACCTAGTAATATTTCTTTTATAAATCTGGGTGCTCTAGTGTTGGATACAGATATATGTTCAGAATTGTCATATTCTTTCACTGGATTAATTCCTTTGTCATATAATGATTTTTTTTTACTGTTCTTGACTAAAAGTCTGTGTTACATAAATATAGCTACTTCTCCTCACTTTTTGTTTCTACTTGTGTGGAATATGTTTTTCCATCTCTTTACTTTAGTTTGTATGTGTCTTTACCAGTAAGGAGAGTTTCTTGTAAGTAGCATAAAAATCAATACTAAGAAAAACACTCTAAACCAGGAAATCACATGGAAATGAAACAACATGTTCCTGAATGACTTTGGGGAAAATAATGAACCTGAAGCGGAAATCAGGAAGTTCTTTAATAGTAATTAAAACAAAGATAAAACATACCAGAGTATCTGGGGCACAGCTAATGCAGTATTAAAAAGGAAATTTAAAGTACTAAATGCCTACATTGAAAAGTTAGAAAGATCTAAATTAGCAGCTTAACATTGCTAATTTGAGAAAGATCTCAAATTAGCAACCTAACATTCTTCTAGTAATAAAAAACTAGAAGAAATTCTAAGAAAAGAGCAAATCAACCCCAGAGCTAGCAGAAGACAAGAAATAACCAAAATTAAAGCTGACTTGAAGA